GGGCATCTGCTGGATCGGTACTCGAAGGGGCCCCATAAACTGAACGACTGATTGAACAGCAAACACATCGCCGAACCCCCCATCGCATGCGAAACACATGTTGCCCTTATTTCTTTTGCCAATTCCGCCAGATATCGGTTAGTACCCCCCAGTGTCCAGGGCGGAGCCAATTTTAAGCAAATATTATTGTTTGCATTTATGTTTGTGTCTGATATGGCACTGGCGATAATGTACTGAATATTCGGATGCGGTTGGTCCTTTCGGAACTCGAATTCACCTGCAAAGCTGCAACACTTTGAAACAGGAACTTGATTATAAGATTTTCCTCTTCTATGAAAAGTCCAAAGCCATTAGCTAACATTTAAAGCTATTAATTTATACATTAAACTATTTAAACAATAATTTGTGGAATATTAACAACACTAACATTATTTTGTTGCCTTGTGTATTTTGAACTTCCGGATGCTGTTAGTCCAGTTGTTTCAGGTTCTGTTCTTATTATTGTTTCTGTTGCAATAGTTTGCTGTTTGCCGTGTTATGTTGTTGTGACTTGAAGCGTGGCATAGAGCAGCATGTAAACACAACCTCAAATTAAAATATGTTTGCTTATGCAGTATGTAGAGCAAACTGAACGACAAACTATAGCCTCCATCCGAGGCATAAATTAAAAGTTTGCAACAATTGCACCGAGCCAAAGTTTCGCCTCGGATGGAGGAGGTAAAAGCTAATTATGCATAAAGCTGCGGACCCTGGCATGGGGCTTATTTACCTTATGGTCTGTTGCTATCCGAGCAGTTGTTGTTTCTGCAACAGCCCCCGAGAATCCTTGAATCGAGAATCGAGGCTTCAGGAGTCGCAGGGCCGTGGGTCGTGGGTCGCGGATCGGTATTATGACAGCTGCCCGGTTGACTGACAGGTTGCGGTGAGAGAGCCTGTCGGCGGCGGAAATTAAACGCCTCGATTTGCGTGCCCGTCACGCGTAAATTATAACAGGTAACACACCTGCCGACCAGGCTCGAGCCACTCTCCTAGCAATTGATTAGAGTACTTTAAGTCGGAGTCTAAGCCTAAATGAATACATGACTCAAAAGTATAACCTTCAGACTTAGTAACCACTGTTGCCCAACTTGATTTATGTGACACACATTAGAGCCACCAACTAGTGCAAATTGAAAGAGGCCCGACTTAACTGCAACATATTGCCGCGTTTTATTATGTTTTGAAATTAACAATTTTCGCTGCCCGCAGCGGCAGCCACATTCCATTTTAATGCATTTTGTTTGCGCCTCAGGGCCGAGGGGAAATTACTCAAAAAACGGCTCACAAATTGCAAACAGGGCGCGCATAAATTAATCGAATAACCTAGGCAACGATTCGTCGCTGACTAGCGAAATTAAAACATTAATCTGCCGCTCAGCCGAGCTGCATAATAATTAATGCTGCCTTAAATTTATTAATTTATTTATAAAGCCAAAAAGGGCAAGACGGCGAGGAAAAAGAGGTGCGAATCCCAGTCCGAGCGCTGAAAGTCTTAAAGGACTATCCTGAGAGTAGGAATGATGGAAGCCGAGTGCCATCGAGCAATAAAAACTAAAGACAACTCCAAATGGCCGTGAGGCAGCGTCTTTGGTCTGCTGAGCTGTGCGCAGTTTTTAAAAATGTCAGTACGCCCTCCAGGGACAGATTAGCGATTAATCTACGGGGCATGGTCACATGCACGCCCTTCGGACTTCGAAGTCCGGACGCCGAGTGGCCGTGGTCTTACCACCTCTACTATGGACCCTCCTCCCCATCCCGTAGGGTAACGATTAAAAAATCTCCACATAAAAGACTGAGCACTTAATCAAAGAGGATTTAGAGAGGAATAGGGCCAGGGTAAAAAGCCAAGGCAACCGGGCCAAAAGCGTCGATGCGGCGCTTTGTTTCTAGCTGTTTCTTCTCGCAGGCCATACCCTGCCATATCCAAAGGGGTATGCTTATTGTTGTAGATGTCCTGTCTCGGACAATTTTAATTAAGTAAGCAGTTTCAATATCTATCTATATTTTGCACTTTCCCGACCAGGTAGCTGGTTTTTCAGTGACAGACAAGCAGATGCTCGATAAGCAAACAGGTAGATTAAGGTGTGTTTGTACTTCAAGGGTGGTTTAGCCAATTCTCCATATATATAAGGTAAGGTTAGTTTATTGATTTTTCTCAGTTGAAAACGAACACTTGGCAAGTGTGAAGTGTTACTCTAGTAGCCGAAGAGAACCTTATCTCAGGTATGAAAAAAAAACTCATTCCATTATTTTTGCTAAAAATATAAAGAGCATTGCGAAATCGTCCTTTCCTTAAGAGTAATCCCCTTACGTGGATTTTAACTACATATTACAAGCATTTTTATTTCGTTAAGCGTTGCTCATAGTTTTTGGTGCGCTTTTTCATTCCGCTGCCTGGCAGCAGCAGCTTCATACTCACTCCCTCACCCTTTGGGCCCTGGTAACAGACCTTAAATAGTGGCAAAGACATCTCGCAGACTTGGCCTGCTGCATTTGTCAATTTACTACGAGCTGAAAGGGGCGTGGCCGCGCATAAAAATGATATATGTGAGCGCTGAGTTAGCAATTTTCGTATGAATTGGCAAAGATGCAGTGGCTGCTGGATCTGGTGCTTCTGCTGCCGTTCGCTTTATGAATTTCTTTATGGCCAACCTATAAAATATTTTGATTGCGCTCGAAGGGCAGGGACTGGGACAGGGACAGGGGCAGCAGTTGAAATTAAATGCTTGTTGCTTGATTTGCTTGCCCCCGTGCTCTCAAGTGCCCCACTCTCGACCAGTGTCCACTTCAGCATGGCCAGCAATTATAGAGGAATAACCGCAGAACGCTCCAAAAGCTGGCCTTGCAAACTGGCAAGTGGCGGGTGGCTGGTGGCTGTGCTTTTCCCTATGCAGAATTTTGGCATTTTCCACCGTAATCCTTTTGTGTGCTAATTGGAGCGTTGTCGGCCATAAATACCGCTACTCCCCCCCTGGGTCGGTTCCCGGAAAATCTCTGGCCTAAACAGTCCAGTCATTCGGGCCATTCATGACACTGAAAGCGAGTTAGGCCACTTGTCGTGGCAACCAAAGGTAAATATAAAACGGACCTCTTTAATGGGATTTAGTTTGTGTGGCTATCTGTTTGGGGAATCGATTTTGTCTGAAATTCCCATATAAAGCTATTTAGGAATTTAAATTCATAAATAACTGGCTTTGTATTTATTACACATTTGATCACGAAGGCTTTTAGTGATTCTTATGCTCTATTTCTTCCCAATTCTCATAAATTATTATCACCTATTAATCGATTGGTAGGAGAAAAACGAAAAAATATTATTTATAGGAAATGGTTAGCATATTAAGAAGATTGAAATAAATTATCGACTGGAAGTTTGCTGTTTTTGCTTCGATAATCAAGTTTTAAAGTCTTTTGTTGGTTTAAACAATTGACAGGCGCGTGCTCCACTGATGTTCAATGCGTGCTTATGCTTGGAGTATATTACCCACTAATGTAGACTAATATGGACTTTAATGAAGACATCTCCATCAATGGAGAGTAGAAAAACAGAAGTTATAAGAAAAGGTTGAGAAAATATTTGCTCAAGAGATTATCCAATAGCTCACCTCCGTGGAGATAATTTCAAAAGGCAGAAGAGTAGACAAATGCTATCTGGGACTGGCACCAGATTGGAGGCTTTTGGCATTGTTTTGTCATAACACCCGACGCTTGTCGAACGCCCCTTATCAGATGGGATTAAAGTACAAGTGGCTTTATTGGCGTCTCAGTTGCTCTTCGCATTCGACGAAAGCAGCATCTCTCGCATTGATTGCGAAGATTCCAAGCTGTTCAGGCGGTAAAGCAAAAAATAAATATAGATAAGACCCTCGAATCATATAACTAGTGAGTTACATAAGTTGGGGCTCCGGACAGGCCCCCTAAATAATAAAATATATTTAAAGTGTTTGCCAAAAGGTTGGTATTTAAAATTTAAAATCTAAAATAATAGACATAGCTCGTGCTTCTTAATAAATAATAGTTAATTAAGTAAAAAAGAAGATAAAAACAATTGTTGACAACTTTTATGGCAACATCTATTATTCAAAGATAACTCTGACTTTTTCAATTATTGTGATTCTGACCAATTCGGCTTCCTAAATCCCCTGAGGAAGCTGTGTACATATGTCGCTTTTGGCGATCGGATTTTAGCCAGACCCCGAAGATACTAACTTGGCCAGCGTGTGGCTGCATTGATTGGCAATTTGCATATATAATTTATTTACAATTGTTGTGACATTTTGCTGGCGCAGCCACTGACGATTGCGCAAAGACCCACACCAGACAGGTTGTCGTCGTTGCCGTGGGAACTGGCCCCGGAATCTTTTGCCCAAAATCTCAGAGGCACTCACTTAGCCCCTCTTTCTGCATCTCTTTTTTTTTTTGGCCAACTTTCACTGGCGACGGGCAAGCAGTGCTTCCTTAATTAAGCCATCTTAATGGGTAACTGGGACTCGGCTATCTGGCAGCAGACAATGGCTTAATCTCCCAGCTAGATCCCGATCCCTGGGGCGCACCTTCCTCCAATTAACCAGGCAGCCGACTTCATTTACCTACTTAAAAGAGTAAAAGTTTAGCCCCAACCTGGCCCAGTCTGGCCCGGTCGTCTTGGCCTTTTGTAGTTGGAGTGCTGCAGTTGGAGGCCGTACTCCTATTTTCCAAATGCCATTTTGTCGGCGGTGGATCTGTGGCCAAGTGCTAATGCCCCCGACTTCTGTTCCGTTGCCGGCTCCAACTTGTCACGCTGCCTCCAATCGCTCTGTGTGCCACAAAAAAGCAAACGGCCTCTCTCTCTCTTCCTGACTCCGATTGTCGCGGTGTGTCTCCGGTCTCGAAAACCGGTTGTCTGTGGGCTGGTTACCTTGCAAACGAAATCGCTATCTGCCCGGGTTCCATATTTTCACGCCAGTCGACCAGCACCGCTCGATATATCCAATTTGCGCTAGAGCCGGCCAATATTTGAGAAAGTCCACCTTGGGAGACAGGTGGGTTTGGTAGGACCAGTCCGGTAGGCTAAATTATTTTGTAGTATAAATTTGTATATAGTAAACATTGAAAAATGTTCTAATTTCGTATTCCAAATTCTATTTGTATAGATCCTTTCAAGAATCTTGATTGAATACCGCGAAATGGGTGACCAAAACCAGCGGAATCAAAATCAAAAGCAGCTCAAGCCGGTGGAGAAGACGAACGATGTCATTATCTCACAGATCGGCGACTTTGGATGTTACCAGCTGTTCTTCTTCTTTCTCATCCTGCTATCGAAATTTGGAACTGGGTGGCATACCATTGGGCACATCTTTCTGGCAGGACCCACGCCGTTGTCTTGCAAAACGGAAAATGTTACGGATCCGTGCAGCGATGACTGCAAAGATCAGGACTTCGACACCAGCATCTTCAAGAGCACCATCATCACCGAATGGAACTTGGTTTGTAACAAGCAGTCCTTGGCCAGTTTATCCCAGAGCATTGTGATGTTTGGTATTATGTCCGGGAGCATGATATTCGGCATGATTGCGGATCGGTAAGAGTTTGGGAAATATTCCCCCCATTTTGTAAGTCATATAGGGTTCTATTTGTTTGATCCATAGGTGTGGACGTCGGCCTGCCTTTCTGGGCTGCTGTTTGATGCAGCTGGTCACTGGCCTGATTGTATGCGTATCGCCGTATTTCTGGTTCTATTGCCTCTCTCGGTTTTTGGTAGCCTTCGCCACGGGCGGAACCATGACCACCAGGTATATATTTTTGCAAAATACAGCCAGCTGTATCTCTCATTCGAATCTTTCCCTTCAGCTTCGTCTTGCTTATGGAGATTGTTGGACCTAAGAACCGCGAACTTGTGGCCATTCTATACCAGATTCCCTTCAACATTGGACACGCCTCTTTGGCCGTGTTCGCCTATTTCATTCGCGAGTGGCGGTGGTTCCAGTTCAGCATAACCATTTTTTCGGTGGTGTTCTTGATCTACATTTGCTTGGTGCCAGAGTCGCCTCGCTGGCTTTATACAACCGGAAGACTGGATAAGTCTATTAAGATTCTGGAGAAGATTGCCCGGTGCAACAAACACCCCACGGAAACCATCAAGCCGGAGATTGAAGCAGCCTATGCAGCCTTGCAAGCACGAACTCCGACAAAAAAGGGCACTTTGATTGACCTCTTCCGGACGCCGTATCTCCGGATGAAGACCATCTTCATGGCGAATGACTGGATTGTGGTCTGCATGGTCTATTACGGGATGTCCCAGTACATGTCCAAGCTAGGCGGAAACATCTTCCTGAACAACCTGATAGCCGCCTCCGTAGGCATTCCCGGAACGTGTTTATGCGTGGTGATGACCAAGTTTCTCGGCCGGCGACTCACCCTGATCCTTTCGAACTCTTTGAGTGCCGTGGGTCTGATGCTGTTAGTCTTCCTCACAAAGCAGAGCGATGTGGTCCAGGTGAGCTGTGCCATCGTGGGTCTCTTCGGGGCATCGATAACCTTCCCCAATGTCTACCTGTACGGCGGGGAGCTGTTCCCCACGGTGGTGCGCTCCAACGGCATGGGTCTCTGTTCGATGTTAGGCCGTGGTGGCTCCATTTTGGCCCCTCTGATCTGTGAGTTGGCTCGGTTCGGCACCTGGATCACCCCACTCATTTTCGGCATCTTTTCCATTATGGCCGTTATTGGTACGTTTTTTTTGCCCGAGACCCGTGGCCTTCCGTTGCCGGAAACCCTCGAGGATGGCGAGACGTTTGGAAGAAAAGTTAAACCGGCTCAAGCTTAAGATGTATGTTTTTTCGCGCAGTGTCTTGAGTTATCTAATAGAGTCCAGGAGCACTGGCTTAATATTCCATTCAGATCGATGGCAGATACGTCAGTCAAGACCAGCAGGCTTTCGTGCCAAGCCAAGCCACAGGCAAAAAATATTGAAAAATCTAGCAAATTCAAAAGGCAATTAACGCAGAGAAACTTCCACTTCGTGATTATAAAAACTGGGTGAGCAAGTAATTGGACTTTTGCTGTATTTTGGCTACAAAACCTCCATCCAGCTGCTTTCCGACCTTTTACGCCTATCGACTCATACCTTAATGTATAAATATGTATATTAATTTATATATATTGTAGATATAACCAATAATTAAACATATATTTAAATAAATTTATTAATCGATACCACTGGTCTTTAACGGTGGGCACTTTTATCTCATCGCACCATCACTCTCGTCTCCTGGAACTAAACTGTATGGGATGAAGTGACCTTGGCCAAGCAAAAACCGGCTGGAAACACCACTCAAGGTTAATATTCATTGTCAACATTGGGCACGCCTCATTTGTATGCGGTCCTTGGGCCAGGGACCCTCACTCTTCAGGTGCCACAGTGAGAGAAAATAAGGGGATATATGGTTAAGGTTACTACATATTTTAGCTCATTATTTTTTCCAGTCTATCGACCATAAAAGCCTTCTCATCCTCCGGCATTCAATCGCCTCTGAGTTGCATTTGCCAGAGTGGGACTTCGATTCAGATTCTGAGTGAATCTCTTGCCGAGGATGGAGCAAGTTTTTTAGCGTCATCGGCGCTGGCAGCTTGTCATGTCAGGCCGTTCGGAAACTGTCAGAATTCGAGAGGAAGGCTCTGGATGTGAGAAGGCATCCTCCGGGCAGCCCCAGGACTGCCCGACTAGCCGACTGGTCGGTGTCGCATACTTAATCAGCGGCGGCGCGTCTTAGTGATAATTACCAGGCATTTTTGCAGCTCCCCCGAACATGCTGTGAGTTGGGGCTAAATGAATGGCCTTTAGCGGCTCCACTGTAGTCACTCGATGAATATTCATTGGGCTGTGCACAGGATCTTTAATTCGTACTCCTTGGTCTAGACTCTAGAAGAAAAAGAGGGTGTTGGCATACAAGTTAATTCTTAAATATGTCTTATGAGATTTTAATTAGCCAATTCGATGAATAATTTCAATGTGGAAACAGCTACAAGCGTCTCGTTTTAATGACTAACAAATGCTTATGTCAGGCAGGCTAGGGTTGTGGATGGATGGCATAAAATCCCGACACTTGAGCCAAGTTGTAAAGGCAAAAGTGCCACTCAAAAATGCACAACGAGCAACCTTTTGGCCAACAGCACATGGCAAATTTGCCGGCAAAACCGCAGACAGAAAGCGGCAACAGCAGCAGCACGGAGACAAAACCCATTTAAGTTCAAAGCAAGCCAACCGACAAGACGACGATCATTATCTGAGCCGCATATCTATTTGCGATTACCAGAGAGCCAGAGATGAAGCCAGAGCTGCTGCTCTTGGCCGAAAGATGGGGCTGGAACTGAGGAGGCTGAGAACGAGGATTGGGCCATATCTGGAGTTGGGCTCTGGCTCCGTCTGTCTGTCGTGGGAGTTTTCGAGGCGATGTGGTGGCAACGTGGGCGCATAAAACAGCCAAATGTCAAAATGACGCGCTTTGTTGTTTATCATATTTACCGCAAGCCCTGGCAAGAGATTGGCGGACTATAAGCCAGGCCAAATGCCATTAGTATTCAAATGTAGACACGCCAGCGAGCACGACGCCAAAACGAGTCATCATCATCATCATCCTCATAGTCATCATCCGAGAGACAGGCTGGACTTGGACTTGTGTTTGGTGATGGTGTTGGTCATGGACTCGAGTGAAATGAAGTGGAGAGCTTCTTTGGCCACAAAGGAGCCGGCCGCTCTTTACATGCTAAAAAATTAGAAATACCTAGGCTTTTGTGGCTCACAGTTCGCCGTAATTTAGCGCACGCATTTTGCATTTTAAATGCGAGCACACCGACCGGGCGACGACTTCTGATTAATTCCTCAGCTGGGCGCTACAAATTCGTTTGACTAATTGCGACCGGCATGGGGAATGGAAATTGGAATGGGGATGAGGATGGGTCCCAAGTCGAGGATTCCGCGGAACACCTTATCGGCCGCAATTAAACGTGCCGTCCAGTCCAGCGATTTAATGTATGATTTCTTTCAAATCATATCTACGTGACTGTGACTCAACCTTATCAGCTTGGATACTATGCCAGACTTTTACATAAACACAGCGAGAAATTACCTGAAGAAAAACGCTATTCCTTAATACCTATTTAGAGCACTAATTTTGAATTTCATTTATATTTTTTTTCTCTGCATTAACAAACTCATTAATGACAGAAACCCCAGGCGGCCTGCCTCTCAGATGATTCAATATGGCTGCTAGTTGCATATTAAGCAGCTCAGGCTCGCCATCAAATATGGCCACGGACCCGGTCAGTCCAATACTTTCAGTTATATCACCATAATAAAAAATGGAAAAATGTACCTTTAAAATATGACAAAAGGTGGAAAAAGCCACACAAAATTTGTGTCGTGGGCGCTATCGAGTGACAGGTTCGTGGATCCAAACAGTTGTAAAATTAACAACCGAGTTATGACATCTGCCAGCAATTAAAATTGGCAATTGATATGACAGCCGAGCCGGGTAGAAAAAATTGGACATAAAATGTAATTCGTCTGGAACACGATACGAATATCCCGGCAGTAGCCTAGCTAGGCGACAAAAATACCTTTAATTGCTGAAATAGTTTACCGAAATGTACCTCCATATAGTGCCAAAATGGCTATGAACTTCTGGCCCATCTGACAATGGTAACCATTTTCGTTGAACAAATATGACAATTGGCGGTATTATTAAAATGAGCTACGTGCGCTTAATCTGCCAACATCACAGATCGTCCGAAAAGGGCACAGTACTGGCCTGACAGGGCCAAAACCGGTGAGCCAAGCCAGCAGTCTTTTGGGCGGTAAAAAGGAGGCGGAAATGGGCCATGACAGTTGTTGATAGCGCACTCGATTTGCATTCGCATTCAGTTGGAGGCTAGTACTATCCAAAATCGAGGGGAGCGACGGCCAACCAATTAGTTTTTATAACTTTCCAGCTGGAACTTCAATCTCGGCCAGTAATTAGATGGCCAAAGAGTTGACAGGTGGCCCAGGTGCGTGGGCGACAAAGAGAACCGCACACATTAACATAATGTTATGAGAGGGCTTTAATTAAAAAACCCGAAGCGAAATCCCTATTTCCCCTTTTTTTTGCTGCCCTTCAGCAGTTCTCCACAAAGTCGTTGGCCATTCCATGTATGCTCTCCTTGAAGCGTTTAAGGCTGGCCATCCGGCACAGACAATTAAAAACCCTCTGCAGCTCCGCCATTTGCCATTTTATAAGCACAGATTACAGCTTTACATATACGTAACGCACTCGGGGATGGGAAAGACTGCAAAGGGTAAGGGCAAGCACAAGGATAAGGGCATGGGTAAGGGGTCGTTCCAGCCAGGACACACAACGTGGTCCGATAAGCGACAACAGGCACAAGGTGGCCTTAAATCAGGGATGACCATTTAAATTATGTACATTTTGACAAAGCAATTAAACTTTTATTCTTAATTTTAATAAATTAGTGAACTGTAATGTTGTATATTCTACGATTTATACATACTACTGCAGGTAAACTTTCAAAGAATTTTAACAAGAATGTCCTTAAACATAGAAATACATCTGGCTGGAAACTGGCCAAATTGTCAGCCTTATCCTGTCTCTCCCTGCTATCAGCAGTGTGTTGTGATTTTATGTTGGCCATAGTCATCCTGGACGTCCTGTTCCCAGTTACCAGTTACCAGTTTCTAGATACCCGCTGCCTCTCATTGTAAGCTTGTCTGCTTTAATGACATTGCAGTGCACTTATTTCGTTTTGGGCTCTGAGTATTTTTTGCTTTTTTCCGGCGGTTACCATCCCACCTTGTGCTACAAGTTGATGGCCGGCAGTAAAACCTTATGATGGCTTAATTTTAGAGTTTTTAGATCGTTTTTGCATTTTCTTCGCTTCTAGCCACACACACGCTGCTCGTACTAGACATGACAATGTGATTTGGTCGAAAATCAGTTGCGAATTTGCATGGCAGGATGAGCTCGAAATGAAGTCATTTCAATGCCAAAACCGAAAATGACAAAACTTGAGAGAGGGCGGCGAAAGCATAATGGGGAAAATGACTCCAAAAAAAGGATGTTCCAGGAAGCCGTTCAATATGCAACACACCAGCTTATGCAGTGGTTGTAGAGGGGCTATCCCATCAGATTTTTTTCTCACAAAGGGTTAACATAATTAGATATCGTCCTCATGGTCTGCACTCCATAAAACGGAATTGTTTAGATGAATTTTCAATTAAATGTAAGCGCCTTTTACAAAGATGTGAATGCTTATCTTGGTCCGCCATAACCTGGCCATCAATTCGTAATAGAATCGGCATGGAACCCCATCTTATATCACCGACCCAGCTGAGGCCGGGAATACTTAGAAAGAAACGTGCCCGAAATTGGGGTTGAATCGGAAACGTTATCATTTGCCAAGGCGCCCCGTATAATTTGATACTTCATCAATTCGATGAAAAGCCATTTAATATGGAAATGACTCGGCAAAGGGGAAATCCCCACTGTCCGGCAATCAAAACGGGGCCAACACATGACATGGAGACATGGAGACTGTTTACGGAAATTGGTATGAAAATAAAAAGAGACAATTGCGAGATGGAAATTTGCATGTGACGAAATTATATGGCAATCGTAGAATCTCAGACCCAAACATCGAAATGGCCGCGAGTAACAAACTGGCGACAAATGAGGAAAGGAAGTGCATAAGCGGCAACAGGAAACGGAAGTATTTGGAAGACGAATCGCGGGCTGTTAACGCATTTACAAGCCTCAGCGACGACAATGAAATATCGCCAAAGATTATCGAGGCAGGACTAAGGCTCCAGCACCGTCTCCGTCTCCGGCTCCGGCTCCGACTGCGGAGCATTTACTTTGCATAATAAGCCGGATTATGGCCCTCGAGCAGCGAAAAGCCGGAGAGAGGAGTACGGGCGAGAAATGACGTTGACAATTGATTGCTGGCAATGGAAATGGTACGGAAAAATATTTGCCGGATTTCATTAAGTGCCCGAGCGCGAATAGGCGGATGAAAAATTTGATTTAAACATTTTCAGCGCGGACGGAGTAAGTTCATCATTAGCCGCAGGATTGTCTGCGATTTATTTGCCTGCCCGGCTGAGCCATTTCTTTCTTTATTTTATTCATTTTTTCTTGCTCCACTTGAACTGACTTGAGGTAATGCTTTTATGTCAGAAATCACTTAGACCTTTGGTCAGCGGAAGTGGCCATAAAATAGCCATGGCGCATCCACATCCGCAGCCGCATTCGCATCTTTGGCCATAAATTCGGCTGTGAAATTGAAACTTAAAATGCGTAAAGTATACGCCCCATGTCCGAAGTTGCCTGGAGAGCGGTTTCAATTTTTATGTGTATTTTATATGCCTACTGTAAATTGCCGGCCATCTTACAGGCAGATCCCCTCCTGCCAAGTTTTTCCACTTCGGAGGGGGAAGAAGCTCAAAGGCCAGAGGCTCGCAAAAGCGGCTGCCGGAGTTTCCTTTCTTTCTGCCACTTTGGTGTCTATAAGCCGGGCCTCCGAAAATTCCACGTTCGCAATCGTCATAAATCTTATGGCCACATCTTGAATTTATGTGCCTCCTGCCCCGCAAAACGCCGAGGCAACAACCCCACCTCCTTTTCCTCCGCCAGTCCCAGTTCCATCTCCCATTCTGCGGCTGAGTTTTGTGGCTTAGATTAGTAAGTCTGGCATCTGGCGGTGGCGATTTGATATCGATTTTCGTGGCTGCACTTATTGAATTTGTTTGGCCAAAAGTTTTTTAATCAAGGATCTCTCGCACTGGCCGAAAATAGTTTAGTTTACTTAAAGTGTTTAGCCAAATGACAGACAACAGCTTGCACTAGCAGCTTCAAATGGCAACAATCCGAAACGTTTCAATTTTGAAACAAGACAAAGGCCGAGAAACCAAAGGCCAGGAGCAGCCCGGAGTGGCTAGGAAGCGGCAAAAGCATTTCGAGTTAAAATATTTACAGCAAAAATGTTCTGTACAGATAGCAAACAAAGGGCTGACTTCTCCCACCGCCACCACCTCCGGGTTTTAGCCGGATTTCATTACTGACTGACCAGCATGGCCCTAAGACAATCAAAGGTGAACCGGCAACTTCAGCCCGCAGTTAAGGGTTGCTTGTTTTAGGGGTTTAGGCGTCTGGGTGTGGGGTGCTTGCTCCACGGTTTCTTCTTTTATTTTCCGCCTCACCGGACGCTGCGGCATCGGCTGCCGGCAGAAAGCCGAAGGAAGAAGCGACACGTTGCCAACCAGCAGAGTGGCCAACGCAGCTGAGCTGCATCCACCGCCATGAAAATTGGCGTCTGCCAAACATAAATAAAACGGGGAAAGGTAGACAAATCCGGAATAAATAACAGCGTTTGTCTGGCCCATCCTGCGGCAGTGGCAATGGCGGTGACGGTGGTCTCCGTCTTCAATAGCCGTACGTATCCGTATCGCTACCCTCCGGATTCGGGATCCTGGATCTGGAATACCCACAGGTATGGTGCAATGCCACGTCAGCAGGGGCGTTATGGCAACCGACGGCGTCGGGACACCTGCCCATTTGCCGCTTACCTTTCGCCTTTCGCCATTCACCCCGTCCCATCGATGTTGCGGCTCTTCCAGGCACTTTGCCCCCGCGTTGCGTATACGCTCAGTTGCACCACAAAATGAGCGGGAATCGCAGCTTCTATTTGCCATGGCAATGGCATTGGCATTGGACGTGGCCGTGGCCGTGGCAATGGAATTGGCAAAAGCAATGTGTCTTTTGTAGAGCGCTTTTAATAAAATATAACCATTTAATTGGTGTGGCAACGGCAGGCATTTAGTCTATGCCACGGCAGCATTTTAAAGTAATTATTAAGTGTGGAAATAAATGAAATTATTTCTTAGAAAAGTCAGGCCTTAAAAAAAAAGAAGAACTCTTATCGCTCTTCTCAATAATACAAATTCTAAATTGAAATTTTTGAATAATTTCGATTTTTGATTGCGATACTACTCGCCAGTGTATTACTCATAGGAAAAATAATATTTTGTATTTCTTTATTCTAAATAAATGTGTGGGTATACAATAAAGTATATAGGCATTATCAAGGCACGCGGTTACACTCGGTTGGTTCAATCTCAAAAGCATTATCAGCAGCAGCATTACTTCAGATTTAAGAAAAAATTCCCCAAAAGCTTTCTCAAGCCTCAGTTTCAATTTAGAAATCGTGGCGGCATGATGACCAATATATTCCGCTTCGTGCTGATAACAAGTTTGTTGGTTCTGTGCAAATCTACAAATGAATGTGGAAATTTTAATTCCGATGTTAAAAATTTCACTAATTTTGAACAAAACACTATAAATGTAGTTAAGAGTCTTTTAAATGACAACACGGCTGCAACCACAACATCGAAATATTTGTTGACCTTAATGGCTAAGTTATTTAAAGAATACAACTCGCTCGATGATCAATTAAATATGCAAAAAAAAAAATACAGAATTTTAACGAAATATAACCAAACAGCAACAGAAAAATATGAGCTTGCAACAAAAAAAATACATTTGTGGGAAAAATATTGCTTCAATAAGGATGATTCCAGCCAAGAGTCTCGGCGTCAAAAGATACAAGTAATAGAGACTATTGAATCCAACAAGCCCGATGAACCGGAGGTTACTTCCTACGAAGTGACTGGGTGTGCAAAGTATAAGAATGTTATTGGAATACAATCATTCGAGATAGGGGAGCTTGGCAAGGTGGAAGTTCTATGTGACTCCGGGTCGACTGTGATCCAGAGAAGAATTAACGGAACGACGAATTTCAACGCCAACTGGACGGACTATCAGAAGGGCTTCGGAGATTTGAAGGGCGAATTCTTCATCGGTTTGGAGACTCTGCACAATCTAACCGCCTCCAGCCAGTATGAGTTAGAAATCGAACTGGAGGATTACGCTGGCGAGAAGAGAAATGCCATTTACGATCACTTTGTAGTGGGGCCCAAGGAATCGTTTTATGCTCTCGAAAATTTAGGAAAGTACTCTGGGGAGGCGGGCGATGCCTTGTCCTACCATCTATATTCTTCATTCTACACATTCGATCGGGATAACGAGGATAAGTGTGCTGAGAACCAGCTTGCTGGCTGGTGGTACAGCAAGCTGTGCGGTTACAGGTAATTCTACTTTAACCTTCTTAATCTATTTGATACATTTTGTGAATTTTCAGCAATCTGAATGGCTTATACACGGGTAACAACGACGGAATTATGTGGGGTGACGAATGGCACGAGCTTCCGTACTCATACAAGTCCGTTAAAATGATTATACGACCGAAGAATTGATAAGAGTATACTGGTTGATTCTTGATGCTGCGGTCTATTTATAGAAGTCGCAAGATTTTGTGTTTTTTGATACCACTCCTACAGTCAAGAAAAATAAATTCTCGAAATAATGCTTAATAACACCCTTAAAACATTGGATGATTATACCCTTGCAGAGGGTATTATAATTTTGGAAAAAATGTGTAACGCTGTGATCTCCGACCCTACAAATCGTTTAGGGTACTCCGCTTAAGAATCGGATGAGAATCGGGGAAGATCACTCTGTACCCCATAGGGGAAAACCCCGTTTTCAAGGGATCACAAAAAATGGACAAAAAATATAAAAAATATTTTCTGTCACGGTTTTGATGCAGTGGCAAATCGATCTAGAAATCGTTTAAGGTACTCCGCTTGAGAATCGGATGGGAATTGCGGAAGATATAGCCATCACAGTGGGCCCTATAGGGGAAAACCCCATTTTCAAGGGATTCCATCACAAAAATGGACAAAAAATTAAAAAAATATTTTGTCTCAGGGTTTTGATGCAGAATCGTGGCAAATCGATCTAGAAATCGTTTAAGGTGCTCCGCTTGAGAATCGGATGGGAATTGCGGAAGATATAGCCATTACAGTGGGCCCTATAGGGGAAAACCCCATTTTCAAGGGATCCACAAAAATGGACAAAAAATTAAAAAAATATTTTGTCTCAGGGTTTTGATGCAGAATCGTGGCAAATCGATCTAGAAATCGTTTAAGGTGCTCCGCTTGAGAATCGGATGGGAATTGCGGAAGATATAGCCATCACAGTGGGCCCTATAGGGGAAAACCTCATTTTCAAGGGATTCCATCACAAAAATGGACAAAAAATTAAAAAAATATTTTGTCTCAGGGTTTTGATGCAGAATTGTGGCAAATCGATCAAGAAATCGTTTAAGGTACTCCGCTTGAGAATCGGATGGGAATTGCGGAAGATATAGCCATTACAGTGGGCCCTATAGGGGAAAACCTCATTTTCAAGGGATTCCATCACAAAAATGGACAAAAAATTAAAAAAATATTTTGTCTCAGGGTTTTGATGCAGAATCGTGGCAAATCGATCTAGAAATCGTTTAAGGTGCTCCGCTTGAGAATCGGATGGGAATTGCGGAAGATATAGCCATCACAGTGGGCCCTATAGGGGAAAACCTCATTTTCAAGGGATTCCATCACAAAAATGGACAAAAAATTAAAAAAATATTTTGTCTCAGGGTTTTGATGCAGAATCGTGGCAAATCGATCTAGAAATCGTTTAAGGTGCTCCGCTTGAGAATCGGATGGGAATTGGGGAAGATATAGACATCACAGTGGGCCCTATAGGGGAAACCCCATTTTTAAGGGATTCCATCACGAAAATGGACAAAAAATCTAAAAAATATTTTGTGTCAGGGTTTTGATGCAGAATCATGGAAAATCGATCTAGAAATCGTTTAAGGTACTCCGCTTGAGATTCGGATCAGGATTGGGGAAGATATAGTCATTTATGTGAGCCATATAGGAAACTATATCCTATAGCTTCCATATAACTAAACCATCGGAAAAAGTATGTGTTTAGTTTTTGGTTTGAAGGTATATTTCCACAACCAGAGCCGTTGTTTTCTCGCTAACATCCCGTAGACTCAAAGACATGCTTACTAATTAATTCAAAGACAAGTGCAAAGATTCGCACCACGAGAATGCGAATGAGACAGGGGACTTGAATGAGGATTGGGAGTGGTACTGGGTCTGAGATGCCTAAATGGCTGCAATCAATTAAGAGCCAACAAAGTCAACGGCTGCCGTATCGATGTCATTCTAGCATCGGGAATTTTCTTCTTTTTGGCCCCCCGAATGGACTTGGCAAATTAATGAACAACGCATCCAATTGAGCCGAGGGAAATGGGAAAAGCGTCTAACGGGCATGGAAATGGAAATGAGCTGGATGACAGACTCATATTTGCATATTCATGGTGTGACTGTCTCTGCAATTCTGTCTGTGTGTGTGCGTCTGATCTTCGGCATCTGTATCAGAGTTCGTTTAGCAATTGCTTCCGCCCATCTGGCCAACGAATTTTCTGGCTAAATGCCTTCGGTTTACTTTAATTAGTTGTTTAGTTTGTCTAGCTAAGTGAGTGCCGTAAAAAAACGATGTGCCGACCAGGCTGCTCCGAAGGACAGAGGACCTGAAGGGGGACAGATGGATCCAGTCAAAGCCAAACTCGGCTCTAATGGAACTAAACTAAGAGAAAATGCGTTCCCCAGTTAATGGACGGGACGCACTTCATTGGATATTCTCTTTCCAATGCTAATATGCATGCACTCAATGTGCAAATAGTTTGAGAGCCAGAATCCAGCAACAACAGCGACCAGATACAGATACAGCCAGTCAACAGTCTACACCCCAGGGCTTAAAGCGAAGGAGCGGGAAGGTGGGCAGGCCAACGAGTCTGGCTCTCAGATCCTGCGGCTTTCGGGCGGGAGGTAAGAAAAACTATGCACTTTGACTTGGCCACCAATAATTTATAAATTTCTTGTAAGTCTTGTAATTGCTAAGAAATATTCCAGTAACTGATTGTATCTGCTCTCTACTATGGTTGTTTTCTTATTATAACTAAAGTTGAAATTACTGAAAATGTAAAAATATCTTGCTCCTTTTCTTGAAATTTTGTATTTCGTAAAGAATTGACGTGTGAAGACTTCAAAACAAAGCCAAATTAGTTGCTGATTCGACACCCACTGCCGAAACTTGGCAAACTCAGTGCCATGACAACGAAATTAATAAACGCAAGAAGCACCAGTATGTAGCTGGCAAAATCAAAAGCAGGAGCAACAAATTTTGTCACATGCATAAAAAGGGCCTCACAATTTAACGCTTGAATGTTCCATCAGACGTCAACATATGTTGGCCTACACGTGCAAGAGTGTGAGTGCGAAGGATGGGTATGTGTGTGTTAGCCAGCCGTGTCCTGGTCCGGGTCGGTGTCCGTGTGCGGTGTGTGGAATTGCCAGCGTTGCGTATATGAAAGTTTTTAATAATACTTGGGTAAAATACCAAAGGAAAAACTTTTATTAATAAAGTTTCTTTCTTTCCTTTCTTGCTTTGCTCATGTTGAGTCGACTCGACTGGAAAAGAAAGAGCACCCAAAAAAATAATTTTAAATATAAAAGAATTTAGCATAAATAGTGTATACTTTTTTATAAATGTTTAATGGGTCAATCAATTTTTTACCTCAATCAAAGTATTAGGAAGACTTAAGTTTTTTTCAGTGTATTTTGCCTTGCCAACCGGATGCCTTGAGGCTTTTTCCCTTTCTTTCCCGGCAGCTACTAAGGTTTAATTATGGCTAGAAATAAGTACAAAGTCCACCAGCAGCCAACGTTTTTTTCATGTTTTATATTTGTGTGTCACACATGTGTAATTACAGGCATAATTGTTAAATCAAGGGTTTAATATGAAAAGAATTAAATAAAATCGAACTAATATATCCTATAGTCATAGTATCCCCAACTTGTCAAATTAAAAGTAGCTAGTAACAGGCCAAGGAAGACACTTTGTCCCCCAAAATACATCTTCCCGTTCAAGTGCACAATTATTGCCTTTGGCGGCAATATTAAAATTTAAGCTGAAATGCCATCGAGCGAACGAGGCTGAAAGCAGGCCCGTCTCGGCCCGGCCCGGCCCGGAAATAGTTTTTCAGCTCTTCTGGCTTGCCAATTTCGCTTGCGATTTCGTTTATTCGTTATTCGTTTTTTTTGTGTTTTTGATTTTGTCGTATTTGTCTGGTGATAGAAACGCAGAGCCAGAGCCAGAGCCGCTGGCAGCGCTGCAACTTTTCCCCAAATACTTTTAATTAAAATTTCAAATTATTTTCGCCTTTCACAGACTGTCTTGTCGTCAGTAAGGAGGAGCAGGAGGCAGGAGGCCGAGCCTGGGACAGAGACAAAGATGAGCACAAGTGCAGTTAGCGAGTGCAATGGCGCACAAGATGGCGAAAACGGATCCGGAAGGAGGATCCAAAAATGCTGAAATATTCAAAGCGCATTTTCAATTTAAAAGTTTTGCACTCGGGCATATTTATTTATTTTATTTCGAAATTTTTGTTTTCTGCTCATCATTGAGTCGGAAGATGGTGAGGCGGGCGATGGGCGATGGGCTATGGGCGACTCTTTGACCAAAAGTTTCGCTTCAAGTAGGCAATGTCATTGAGTCCTTGGTGGGGGCAGGAGGTTGGAAGATATTGGGTGGTATATGAATGCCCTACAAGCGGCAACTTAATGCAATTTCGCTCTGGCAGATTTCATTTGTGTGACAAATGGGGGGCGTGGCCATGCAAATCGCAAATAAAAAGAACTCATTAAAAGTTTATGCCACAAACTTTGGCACCCCCCGCCCACCGCAATCCAATTCGGCCCAGGCCAACTGCAACTAGTTCGGGCCAAGATGGAAACCTGGTAAAAGAGGGGAAGTTCTACCACTGATTGCATTTATATTTTTCTAGGGGCGAGGCGAGGCTGGCTTTTGTTTTTCGGGTGTTTCGAAAGCCATAGTAGTTTCCGAAGCAAGTTTATGGAAAAACTATCAATGGCCGAGCAGCCTACACTGATAACTTGGTCGAGGTATGCTGGTTTCGACCATAAACTATTTATGGAACAGCCCCCCATTCATAAACCGTGCCTCAGCCAGCCCCCCAAATATTATTATTACGTTTAGTTATCTAAGAGTCGATCAATCATTAGCGATTACAAGTAATTCCGAGGTCACCAAGTGAATTATAAGGTTATTTCTATGTTGGCTACTATCTTTATTATCGGTTTGGTAATTGCATTTGCTTTTGGCCTGCAATCCCAATCCCAATAGTTTGAATGACAATCCACAATTCCCGACGCAAATATTGGAGTTGTGGGTGGAAGGGCACGTGCGACACGTTTCCCAGTTTCCCCCCCAAGTTTCCCAGCAAGTTCAAAAAGTCAATTCGAATTAAACAACGCATTTGATTGCCATAAAAATGGGCGGCCGCCCGTATTTATTGTCCGCTTGAGTTGCATGCTCAGCGAATGCAGGTCGTCGGGTAATTTTTTCCACAAGTATTTCCAACTGG